TTTATTTTGCTTAGTCCAATTCTAAAAAAACCCAACAAAACTATACATTTAAAAAAAGTTTCTGATAAGCTAAATTGAAAAAAAATCCTCACATACATACTATATATGTAATTAACCATAAACCATGGTTCAATTCAAATTTATTTAAAATACAATGCTTCACAGTTGTTCACTCCCTTTAAATAGATTGCATGTTAGCAATCGTTTCACTGAAGATATATAGTATACCGAGTTTTGATTAATAAAATTCATTAGGCTTTGCCTATATGGTATTGAGTTTGAAAATTATTGTGGTTTTCTTAAGATGTATTTGCTGTCTGCTTACCTTACCTTACCGCTCGCTTCTCCTCATTTGGAGATTGAGGCCTCGTAAATAATTTCCTTCCACTTCTTCCGGTCTTTTGCCACAACTGCGGTTTCTTTCCAGTTGTTGAAGCCTAGCTTTCTTCTTTCCATCTGTGCAGTCCGCCGCCAAGTGGTTTTGGGCCTTCCTCGGTCTCTTTTTCCTTCTGGTGCCCAAGTTAGGGCAATAAAAGCATTATCTTCAGGACCTCTCCTTAACACATGCCCGATCCATTTCCACTTTCTTTTCAATATTTCTCTGCTGATTTCATTAGTTGCTGTCTTTTGGTAAAGTTCTTCATTGGTGATTTTCATTGGCCACCTGTATTTCATTATCTTTCTTAAGCATTTCGCTGGAAAACATTTAGTTTATGTTCATCTCCTTTATTTACTTTCCAAGTTTCATTTCCATGTAGAAGTACTGACATTACATTTGCATTTGAGTTTTGTTTTCTTTGTGTATATTGCTGAATTCCATATTTTCCCGAGATTTCTAAAGGCATTTCCTGCTAGTGAAATTCTATGTTTGATGTCTTCATCAGTGCCTCTTTCCTTAGACAGTAGTGATCCTAGATAAGTGAATTTTTCTACTTCTTCGATATCATTATTATCAATTACTATTGGATCATTATTTGTGTTCTTGATTCTCATAATTTTTGTTTTGTTTGAGTTGATTACAAGGCCTGTGTGTAAACTATATGAAGTCAGCCTGTCGGTTTTCTCTTGAAGATGTTGTTTCCTGCTTGAAATGAGGGCGCCATCATCTGCAAATTCGAGATCTTCAAGTGTTCTGGTAAATTTCCATCTAATGCCACATTTCTCCTCTTCTTTAAATCGTGTTTCTCATTATCCAATCCATAATAATAATGAAAAGAAATCCAGAGAGCACACATCCTTGTTTTACTCCGGTGTGTACTTCAAACCATTCACTAAGGTTACCATCAGAAATAACAGCGCTGCGGCTTCCATCATACCAATTACGAATTATGTTAATTAACTTATTTGGTAGATTGTACAATTCTAAAATTTTCCACATCGCATCTCTTTGATACTGTCAAAAGCTTTTTTGTAGTCGATGAAATTTAAATAAAGTGATGAATTCCATTCAAGAGACTGCTCTATAATGTTTCTTAACATGAAAATTTGTTCAGTGGTCCCTCTCCCACGTCTGTATCCAGCTTGTTCTTTTCTTAATACTTCGTCTACGCTAACTCTAATTCTCTCAATGATGATTCTTCCAAAGATCTTGCTAGCTGTAGATAGCAGGGAAATTCCCCTGTAGTTGTCACAAATAGTTATATCACCTATTTGTTGGTAGAATTACGATCAGACTCATCTTCCAATCTTCTGGTACTTTCTCTGTGGCCAGTATTTTGTTAAAGAGGTTTACTAGAATTCGTTCGGTTATATCATTGCATGACTTCCACATTTCTGCTGTAATTCCATCAAAGCCGGCTGCTTTCCCGTTCTTCATTTTTCTCATTGCGTTTCTAACTTCTTGTGTTGTTATTTCACCCAGGTTGACATTAACATTCCTAAAATCATCTGTATTCATTTCTAGAAGTTCTCTGTTATTGCTCCTTGAAGGTTGATTCAAGGTTTTATCAAAATAGTCTTTCCACCTGTCTCTGATCTGTTCTTCTGATGTCAGAAGTTCGCCGCTAGAATTTTTTATTCCAGTTTTCTTTCCTTTTCCTCTATAAGCTAGACTTTTTGTAATTTTATAAACGTAACTCATATCACCATTTGCAGCTGCTTTTTCGGCTTCTTTGGCTGCATCTTCAATCATTTTTCTTTTATCTGATCTCACTCTCTTTTTAACTCAGTGTCTTTTTCCTCATATGCTTCTTGTTTTATCTTTCGGATTCGCTCGGACTTGGCTTCTTCGTACTGCATTTTCAGCTGCTTCCTTTTTTCTATAGCTTTTCATGAATCAACTGATATCCAGGGTTTACTAGATCCTTTTCGTGTGCCAAGAACCTTCTTTTCCAAAGGCTGCTTGAGTTTCTTTCCATTCGTTTTCAAAATTCGGATGTTTAACGTGTGAAACTTTTCCTAAAGCGTTTTTGACCTCTTTTTCATACTGTTGTCGAATTTCTGGACACTTCAATTTATTTGATTCATATACGGTACGTACCGATTTCTTCTTCTTCTTTCCTTTTAACTTGATTCTCAATGTTCCAATCAGTAGGTTGTGATCACTATGGATATCCGCTTCTCTTTTTGTTCTAACCTCAAGGAGTGATGAACGATGTCGTTTTGAAATTATAAAATGATTTGGTTGCGTGTGTGCCCATCGGGTGATTGCCATGTGTACTTGTGGATATCTTTATGCTTGAACAATGTTCCACCAATGACAAAAGTGTTGAGAGCACAAAAATCTATCAATCTTTCTCCATTAAAATTCATGTTTCCGAGACCTTCTCTTCCTATTGTGTCATTACTTATTTGCTTATTTCCTACCTTTGCATTTACATCACCCATAACAATCTTTATATCATGTGTTGGTACATTTTCGATGACTCTTTGATGTTGCTCATAGAAGTCGTCTTTTGCTTCATCATCTGCATTTTCAGTTGGAGCATATAATGATCTGCTGGTTTCTGTAGTAAAAGTTATTTTTCCGTGAGTGGATTACTAATCCTCTGCACAACCTCCAACCTGGAGGAACAGGGTTTTCTAAGATGATATATATGTATAGGCCTATATGTGTATATATATACATATACATATATATATGTAGGCCTATATATATATATATATAAATCAACAAAGAAAGATAAATATATATACAGTATATAAATTTTCTCTCTTTCTGTACCTTTTCTTTAACATTTAAAACATGTCTTAACCTTTTAAACGATGCCTTCGTAATACAGTAATTAGAAATGATTGCTTTTCGAATTTGGAACTCAAGAATAAGATGTTATAATAATAATAATAAAAATAATAATAATACTTTATTTGAAAAACTACGCCTTTCCATCGGGGGCACACGTCACTTATTATATAAGTCTAGTCCCTAACATTAAATTAAAAAAAAATTGATTGGAACTAATAGGCCTGGTTTTGATGGCATGTGCACTTTGTATAGCCCTATATGATATGGGTTTATTAATGTTATGTGACAGATGCACGGCTATTTCAGGCTTTCAAAGAAACATAGTATAGTCTACTGAATATGATAACGTAATCATTAGATGTTGTATTTTTGTATTTATGCTGGACGGAATCAACTAAAAAAAAAATCGTCCAGAGCTTCTTGTGCCTAATAATATCTAGTTGTTTTGTTTGGTGAACTTTTTGCTTTTAATCAATAGTGTGGCGTGTAGACAATTAAAAGTGTTGTCTTTAGTGATTACCATTCACATAAAAATTTTATCAAAAATCAATATCATTCGTATTCTTATTATCTCTGTAGTGTAATAGCGTCATGCACATATAATAGCAATGTGTAGGCCCATATCTGTCGTTCTATATTTTTATCCCACGTTACTGATATTGGTTTTAAGTAGAATACAGTTTACTACTAAGATGTAAGTGTATTTTAATCACGACATTGCATCCCATTGTGTTTTTAAACAACTGCATAATGTTTTTTCGAAGTAACTCACCATCATCATCCACGCATCATTGTTGTCCTCATCAGCATTATCATATTTTGTTCATCATTCTAGCGTCAATCAAATTGACACATCTTCAATCTACAGTGCCTTTATTATTAGTTGTATGTTCTTGTTAGCATGTGAATTAGGCAAGACCTTTTTTCATACCTTGTTTCGCGAACTTATTTCTTCAAAGATTGTCATTATAGGGCAGGAAAAAAAAAAAATTTGTCTCCTGATTTAGCAAATACTTTTGCTGGAAACATCCAGACGGAGGAGAAACTAAAAAAAAAATTATATTGGTGAATGTAAACAGTGTAGTAATGAGATAGTTAAATGTTTTAAATTTATATAATTAGGAAGAAATATACTTACTTTATTTTTGGAGATTTCAAAGCAGTGGTGGGCATACAATAAAAATAAAGAAAAACTTTTTTTCTGAAAATTCCAATTTTTTTGTGGAGGTGGGTGCACTAATTGGCCATAAATAGAATTAAATTTTTAGTTGAAATCATCATTGGTTTGGTAGACAGGGTATAAAAAATGTCATGCCTTTGTGTACTAAATTTACTTTACATTGAAAATGAATGAATAGATCATGATACATTGAACTTCATGTTCACTGTAGTTTTTTTTTTTTATTCATTGGTAGACTACGCTGGTCAATTGTTGCATCACTTATAAATGAAAAAAACAAAATAAGTATCACAGTATATCATAATCAAACATCTACCAACCAGTCAGACTGTTTGCAAGTGAGAAAAATAAACAGCTGCAGGTCGAAGATTACACACACCTTACTGGAAAATATCTTCATATACAGTATCATAATACAAATTGAACATTAATTATGTAACTATGTATCGAGGGGATTGTTTTTTATTGCCTAAAAGACACGCCATTTGCATAGTAAAGTTAACGAAACATGGGAAAAATTATCTACAGTGACACAAAATGTTGCGATAATTTAACTTGTAATTGCAGGAGGATGCAACATCTTTAGAACGTTTGCATCAGTGAGTGGGCACGTGGATGTGACAGTAAACAACGACCTGTCCAGACTATCAAATTTTATTTGACAAAAACTTATAAGCACATCATGACTAAATATGGGCATACAACAGTTTTTTTTTTGTCAATGTGTGTGGTTAAGTAATGACATGCTTAACTTGTCATGGTCACCATAGTAATGTTAACAGTTTATTCAGTGATTATAGAATCCCAACGCCGATAAACACGTTTATTCATTTGTATTTTTTCGTGATCAATTACATTCAGACTGTTTTTCCATTCTAAAATGAAAAATAAATTACAAAATTCATCAGACCAAATCAATTGAAACAAATATTTGTCCATTCAAAATATATTGGGGCCAAGGATTGTTAGATCCAAATGCTCTAACTATACAACCAGAAGATGGAGTGCCGGTAGATAAAACTAAGGGAAAAATACAGTTAAAGTAGTCCAATAGATAAGCATTAACACACAAATTAAATCACAATTTTCAATTCAAGCAGACCTATATCAGTACATTTTCTAGACGATTCTGCCTTAAATATAGTTAAAAATACAGGTTCTATAGGAAAATATGCTATTTATTCATTAGAGATAGAGAGAGCTGTTTTTATCAGCATATGTCTACTCCTACAATGAAAACTCACTCCAAATGCTAACCATTGTTTGCAAATGAAGTCAAAACATTCTGTATTATTCAGCAGATTTATAATACGTAACTATTATTAGAAGTACAGTAATAATATTTATAATACATAAATATTATTACTGTACTTCTAAATCATAGTTGTTAAATACTCAACTTTAAAACATTATCACATAAACTGATATATACAGAGCAACTTTTTGGTTTTGGTAACCTGTGTATATGAATATATGAAAACTAAATATTTGGATTACTCCACAAACTAATACAAACGAAACCGGTTTATGAAGATATTTGGTATGGTTTATCAAAAGCTGTTAACAAAAGCACAAGTAAAAAAGTTTCTGAGGTTAAAAATGTCACATCTATCCCAATGTTTTGTATTAAAATTATTTTGTTTAATCCTAAAACAAATATTGTATGTATGAAAATAAAAGAACAGTACTTTGGAAATCAAAATGGAAATAAGCTGAGCATAAGATCCTTTTTTATATAATCACTAAATAACTAATTAAATAATATTGTTTGTAGAATAAGACATATGAATATAATTGCAGAGGCTTTTAGGCGATGAGAGTCTATCTTAATAAATATTTACTGCATAAAAAGTGTCCAAATTCTTACCTTATTATATTTATATTACATATTGTCATTGAAATAAATAAATAAAATTTGAGGTATCGATTACCGAAATTTATTAGTTTTAATTATAACATTTTAACCAGGATATGACATGTATTTCAAATGTTTCTTGGTTCTTCAGATGTCTACAAAAGCTAATGGTTGATTAATAAAGATAACATATTCATAAAATACACAATTTAACATGAATAATTTTGTATTATATTTATTAGTTGAACATAAAAATATACATTTGGAAAAAATATATAAAAAAATGGTCTTAAAAAATGTTATGATACAGTCCTAAACATAATTTACATGATCAATTTCTTGCCACAATAACATCATTTCATTAATTTTCAAAAAATATGTTGGCATAATGCCTTATAAATTACGTTTGCAGATCATAAATGATCTAAATTTTGCAAACAATAAGTTAGCATACTGTAAATGATCTGATAAGCTCCGCTCTCAAGTGGCGCTCTCGACAAAATGACGCATTGTTGTGTTGGCCATTCACAACCGACTTAAATTTTACAAAAGTAAGGGTCGGCATTTGAGTGCTTTTATTTGCTGGATAGTAAGCGATGCGATTTAAAAATTGTTGTATTATTTGTCTATTTTTTAGGTGTAAACACATATTTGGTTGTTAAAAAAAAGGGGGAAAAAAGCTTTCCAACTGACCTACCTATTTTTTGAATTTTCCCAAAACGTGGCCAACACAAAAATTGTTTCTTTTTGGCCTAAGTGCTGTGCTTGAAAAAGCGATGCTGTTAATAAATGGTACTCTAGAATAAGCACCGTTCTCGAATAAGCACCGCACTGAACTTATTAGGTCATTTAGGGTACTGTTCCTATATAACAAGAAAATGTTTAAGTATTCATAATTATTCTTTCCTTAGACCCTTAGGTACAGATAATCTCATTTTATTTGACAAAAACATGTGACATGCCTAAATATGGTCATGATGACATCACATCATGACCATATATAGGCACATCATGACTATATATGGGCATACATCAGTTTTTTTGTCATATAAAATTTGATAGTCTACACAGGGCTTTAGATACTGTTCTTCTCTTCAAACTTTGGAGCTTACAACTGAGAATGTTTTGTTATTTTTTAAAATCAATAATACTTCATGAATATTTAAATTTCATACAACTTTATATCAAAATGCCGATTATAAAAGTTCACACTCGCTAATGAACGCAACAACTCTCCATAAGAAAAAACTTAATGTACAAAAATCGCTCACACACACTTTTATACAAAGTCTAGCAGAGCTGTCTAATAGACTTCTGATACTCATAATACGGTACTAACATAAAACAACGTTAACTCCGCTGCTTTATTTAAAAATATAAAAAATAACTGCATTACTCTGAGATTAAAATGTGGAATGGAAAATCTAATTCACCTAGTCATAATTTCTTAGATTGTTCAAGAATAATTGCGGATATATTATGTTCTTTATTTTACTCTTGTAATTCCAACACATTCTTGGTGAAATTAAAAATGTTGCACATAGAACATTAATACAAGTACTTTACGTTCTTCATGGTACTCTTTCAAAATTCCACATACATAATAGTGAAATTTATTCCTACGATACTGCTTTCCTCCTTTATCAGCTGAAGTTTCCTATCTGGAATTCTTTCCAATCAATCAAATAACTCACAAAACTGTAAATCATACTCATACTACCAATGTTTATATTTCTTTTAGACAAAAAAACTTTCTTTGAAAGGAATTTTCTGCTGAATTAAATTTCAGATGGTGAATTTCAACATCTGCTTTGCTTAAGAATTTCAAAACTAATCACTTTCCAATAACTTAAAACTATCTTGTTTCTTGTTACATCTCCATTCTCTTTGAGTTTTGTCGAATTTTAATGTGAACATAACAACTGCTGCGCCGATGTTTTCTTCCTACACCCGCACTTAAAGCTATAGATGAGAAGCATACAATCAAAATAGGTCATGACGGTTTGCATCCATCATTAACTAGCTCAATAGTTCGGTAGCGGCGGCGTAAATTTGCAACGGGATCTTGGTATAGCAGCGGATCTAACCGCATCTGGGAGCGTGTCAGAGGCATTTTACCAAAGATCTCTGCAAAGAGGTTCAAACAGTTTTGTCTCTGTGGAAAATGGTCTGCCGCCCTCCAGAACGATAAAGGCTTAACCCTTGAGTCTTCACCCATAAGAAGTTGCTTGTAGCATTTCCTCTGAGAGACTTTAACTGGCGGAAGATGTGTTACACTCGCTACTAAGAAGTTCATTAAAATATCTTCACAATTATTGATGCTGTTCACATGATCCAACAATACTTTCGGTAGAGTCTCTGTATAAAGATGATTGTAGTATCTGCAGGGAAAAGAAAGAGAGTTCGGAGGTCAGCTTGAGGGTATGCTAGGGCACTTTTGCAGTCCTCACACATCAGTCAATTAAATACCACACTTGGCAAATTGGATATCCATGCACTAAAATATTAATCATTAGAAATATTGATTCTTGAAGCCGAAAGAAAATATTTGATTACGAACTGAATTAAGTGCAATCAATTGTAAATGACCTCTGAGAGAGGATTGAATATCAACCTGAATATTTTCTTCACCTGGACTGTTGCAGAAATAATAAAAAACAGAAAAACAAAGAGTACACAGCACAACATGGATCAGAAACCACAACAATTTTCAGTGTATATACTCTGAACTCTGTCCTGCTTCAATTGTGATCAAACAGGTGTAGCAATGTGTATTGTGATAATATTCAGACTTTAAAGAGGGATGTGCCCCAATTCTGAACAGAAACACCTGTAGCACTGTGGGACTGAAATGACAATTCAAACCGGTTAAAATCAGATTGAGGGTGACAATGATATTCTCCAACTCTCTCAAAATAGAACATTTCAGTGGGAGTGGTTTCTGCAGCTTTTGTGGTTTAAGCTTTTAATTTTGAGGTCGAGACTTTTGAATCCCTGGCTGTGCATTTCGCTTAATTTTGTCCTTGGGAAAAGTACTTTACCTATGTTTCTTTCTCTTTCTTCCCAAGAGTATAAATGGGTACTTGGTAGGATATCATGTTATTGAATGTATTTGTGTATGCAATGCAGTATGACTAGGTAACTCCCCAAGGAAATGAAGGTTGAAATTTGTACAGCTTTTCCAATTTTTGGATCCAATAACCAGCGGAAACAATAACATTGCAGCCCCCTTGACAATCTCTTGACAATTCTGGCCATTGTCAAGAGATTTCTATTTACACAAAAGAATCAAAATTTTCGAAAATTTAAGGCCACAATAAAAATACAGTATATAATTCAATCAGATTAATTTTAACTAGAAAAAAGTAGTAAAAAGTGATATATAAACACACCTGTGATAAAAAGCTGCACTGGTAAGCACCATGGAGTATTCGTTGGTCCACTTGGAGGTGTAAGCCCATCGATTTTGGCTCTCATCCCAGTAGTGGGAACGGGCTGGATATCCAACAATCCGCTCTGGAAATGATTTCCATACACTAAATGCAAAATCAATCTATAAACAAAAGATAAAAGAAAGTCTTGTTATAATATCAAAATGAATGTGATTTCATAACCAGAGATCATTGATACTTAGAATGTCACTTTGAATATTTCTTCTTTGCATGACTATTTTAACAGACCAAAAGGAATATTGTACCCACAACAGGCTCTGCAGAACATAAAAAAGAGACTTAAATTTGGATTTTAAAATAAATCACAATATCAAAACAACTATATAATTTTTAGTTAACTTTTCATATATTTCTATATTCTAAGAATGAAATACTGTATCCTATCAATTATGGCATTTCTTAGTTTTTTGTCCTCAACTTGTGTGTGTGATGACACCGAGAGTAGGGTATACTGAGATGTAATTTAAGATAAAAATGTTTAAATGAGTTGGGATGTGTACATAAAGAAACATTATTATTAGAGTTATTTAGTATTATTTATATAAATTTATTTATATATTAATTACTAAATCATTTATACACATTACCAATAAAGTCTGAACCTAACAATTTTTGCTTTTGCTCAACTCTATGGCCTAGCACATCTATTTGCATTCCGGCTTTTGACCCTTTTACAATAATATAACATACAGTAGCACAACATGACAGCACATAGCAACCACCTTAACAATGATAGTAGGAGCTATTTAAAAAAACAAAAAAACCAAACAGTACTAGTGTAGTGAGAAAGCACCAACCTCAGGGGTTCAAAATCGCGGAAATTGGGAAAGCCTCCTGCAATCAAATCAAGGATCTCCCGGAAAATTAACCATTTCCCGCAAATTCATGATATTTGCATGTTTTTATTACTTTAAACTGTCTTTCGGAAGTCTGTGCTGATGAATATCATCATGCATAGTAAAATAAAATTAAATGTGCTAAAAAAGCTCATTTAGACAGATTTCCCGAAAGTGGCTTCTCCCAACTTGGGACCCCTTCAACTCCCACTGGCCATCATTCGTAAATTCACTAACAGGCATACACTAACAGGCATGCTGTACACTAACAGGCATACACTGCAATAAAACTCTACAGCGATTCTGAGCAAACATCAGTTTGATTAAGAGGACGTCAATGAATCAATCACAGGATGCTAGTCCACTAATTAGTAAATGATGTAATTAAGCCATCAATCAACCAGTTCTTTAACAAACCCAAGCGACAGGTTAAGACACCCTCATTCATTTGTCAGGTATGGGGAGTTTTGAATTACTCATGTGGGAACAGTTAAATAAATACTTTGGATAGGAGTGAAATGAGTTTACAAAATATGCATTACACATCATTCTAGATAAAGTCTTTTTTCTCCAACAGTGTGATTCTTATCACTATGTTTTTTTTTATAACTTATTATTTGCTACCCTTAAGACGATTAAAATGAGGTTATTAGGCTAATCACAGCAATAAATTTCAACCCACAAGGAAACATGACACAGTTAACTGAAAACTTCTTTTTTTTTTTTTTTAATACATATATATACTCAGTGATGGATCTGGAGAATGGGAGTAGCTACAGTAGGTAGTGTAAAAAATTTGGTTAGATGGCGGGTCTGGGGAGCCCTTCCCTATATATTAACATTTTTGTTTCTTAGAGGCCTGGAAATGCACTTTCCTGTATTCTAACATGTCTGTTTACTATTATGTTAAATTTCGCCAAATTTCAGATCGAAAAATGGTGAAGATAATGACGAGTATATATATATATAAATAGCAGCAGTTTGGGTAATGGGGAAAAAGTTAGAGAAGAGAGTCTATGTCTGGGGCGAGTGAAGGTATAAATAAGAGGAGATGTCCCCTTCAAATGTTGAGCATTTGGTAAAAATGACTTTTCTAAAACTTGTTTAGAAGGCTTGCACTATTCTAGAACTAGAGATTTTTGGGGAATATTAGAAAGTGGATAGCCACTGTACTATATTCACCCTCCTTGAACCACCCATGAAATTAACAAAGTCACATTTAGTATAATTAAATTTTGACCCTGTCTTAAAAACAAACACTTTAGTACAAAACAGAAAAAAAAATAAAGGAAAAATAATTTAAACTAATACCATACTAATAAGATTAACAAGCCATATCCTTTTTCTTCAAACAATATTATTACCAACCTCATCTGTAGTAAGTACAGTATCTTCATCTAGATTTAAAATGGCATCGGTCTTCACGAGACTGCTGGGCTTAAAACGGTCGCCAATATGCTGTGGAGGAAAGAATAAATTAAAAGATACAATTATCATTATTTCTATTTAACAATAAAAATCACATTCTGATATTATTACTAGCATACTAGATTACTGTGTCATCTTACTGAAACCCTATACTAAATTGAAATAGATTTGAATCAATACATAAAAAAAACTGACAGATAGAACAGATTAAATTTAAGAATTGTTTCTCTTATGGTAATCAATTCACTGTCCAATGGTTGTATATTAAAAATAGATATAAAATACTTCATCATGGATGAACAAGAGCAAAATCTACTACTATACTGTACACTTTAAATATGAGCGAATCAATTACTATACAATTTAGTTTAGTTTAATACAATGCAGGTCGTTGACAACAAAGAATGAATATTGCTTATTATACAGTTGCACATGTTAGAGATTGATTGATGGTAAACTGGCAAATAAATGAAACAATTATTCATCAATGAATTAACATCTGAATATGAATAATACAATGAGAATTGGTCAATGACCTCTGGTGGTGACCCTATCAAGTTAATTTTCACTCAAGTAAACGATGTGATGCAGAGTGAATGAAATGCTTGAAATGTAATGCAAGTAGTGACATAAAATGTGGTTATGGAAATGATGGATGGATGGATGAATGGAATGGGTGGATAATTAAATGGATGGATGGATATGGAAACTGAATAGAGATAGGTTTAGATGCTTGCCTTCCAAAACAATGATTCTTGGTTCAAATCCTATCAACGTCAGGATTTTGTTCTCATGACTAAAGCTCCGTCTAGATTACTAAATTTTCTTTGACAAAAAACTGTTGTATGCCCATATATAGTCATGATGTGCCTATATATGGTCATGATGTGATGTCATCATGACCATATTTAGGCATGTCATAAGTTTTTGTCAAACAAAATTTGATAGTCTGGACAGGACTTAGAACCATCTCCACAACTTGAGATTCAAAGGCATAGCTTCTACCAATTATTATTATTATTTTATTTAATAAGATTTAAATTTTAGAGCAACACATTACTGCTAAATTATTAATTTTAGAAGGTCACTAAATATTAGCTGACTATCTAAGCTTAGCTGGACAGGTTACCCTCCATAAACATGCTTAATAAAATAAATGCTTTCCACGCAGCAGCACAACACAAATCCAGGAGTTCACAAGCTAGAAAACAAAGACTATAAAAGGGGTCATCCATAATTATCAACATTTTCAAAAGAGTAAAAAACATACTCTTTTCTGTTACCCCCTCCCC